TATCTACCTTTGTGCAACTTTAATATATCATACTGGTTCTAATTAATCTATCTTTGTGTAGCTTTAATATATCATACTGGTTCTAATTACATCTACCTTTGTGCAACTTTAATATATCATACTAGTTCCAATCAGATTTTAGGAATATCGCTACTCTCTAGTTTCTACCAGAATAAACTCGCATATTCACATAAGCTCTCTGAGCCTTGATGAGTAGGAAGTTGACATTCTCTGGTTGTTGTTTTCGAAATCCACACGTGATTACAAAGTTGTCTTAAACCTTCCTTAGTTTTTGTGACAAAGGGGTGAACCGGGCAGATCGGGTTTTTTAGCTTTCGTGCATGTGTTGTATAGACACGTATTACATCTAAAGTGTATTTAAATGATGCTTTGGTCGTTGTTTCTCATTTCGTCAGTTTTGTTGTGATGAGTTGGCTGTAGAGAAGTTGGATTCCTTGCTTCAGGAAATAAATAGCATCTTGTAAGTAGGTAGAAAGTTACCCTTACAACCATTTTTAGTTCGCAAGTTAAATATGACCAGGAACCAAAATTGTGTCAAATATAATGTTGTAGGATGTGACTTCTGCAGTAAAGAGTTTTGATTTTTTCCTTCGAATGTTATTTTTGTTTTAATTCAGCCTCTAATTTCTATTATACTCCGTGCGCTACGTGCCCGCAGGTTAAATCCTTTACTTTTGATTATTCTGACTGCACCTCATCCTGCATCTCTTCGCTAGCCACAAATGAAATATTTACAACACGTCAGGTATTACAGTTACTACAGTGATTTCAACATTTAAGGGGATCAAACCACTGTGTAACGAATACATACAGGTTTCACCGTTTAAATATATATATATATATATATAAGTTTGAAAATGTCATTGATTTCATGCCAAGTGGTCATGATTTAATGAATTTTGAATTAAAAAACAAAACCTTCTTTCGTCTTAGGGAGATAAATTACATCATGAAAACATTCACCAGTTAGGCACGTGCAAATTAAATCGACTAAGACCATATTTCAAATTGTTAGTAATCTTACTTTTCTCTTTCCACGTGTATTTTTCTTGTGGTTGTGTTCAAGATATTCAACGTAGTAGTTTTACGATTAATGATATGTTAACTCTAAAGTATCAACAGACTGTTAAAGCACGTCAATATTAAGTTAAACACATTGATTAACGGGAGTGACAATAACAACCACAGCAAGAAAAACTCCTCCTTGTTCTGTCACAAATGTCCAGACTTTATAATTCCAGAAAATCTAGAAAGTATTATTGATACTTATGCATACATTTTATATTTCTAGTTTTGGCTTGTATATGATGTAGGCATTAACTTTCATATGCTGTTGTTCGTTTAGCGCAAAGCTACACAATAGGCTATGTGGGCTCTGTCCACCGCAAGGAATCGAGCCCCGAATTTTACCAGTGTAAGTCCGAAAACTTATCTGACAGTCTCTTACTGTTATTTCTTTAAAAGAAACACATATTTTACGATGGTATTTTTGGTTCAATTCAAACTTCTGTAAGATTGATGTAAAATATTGAATTGACAAAAAAATTGGTAGTTTTTGGCATTTCATGCATCGTTTTTAATAAGCAGATCAAGATTTTTGAGTAAAAAACATTTTTCTTTAAAACATTTTATCTACTTCAGTTTTGAAGCAAGAAATCTCAACACTTATTAAGATATGCCTTAATAGATAATCAGCATTAATTTATAAAATCATTGTACAAGTCCTTCCAATATATTACATCTAAAAAAACTTGTTTTTTCCTGAATTATAGATTGTTTCGGCATCCAATAACACGAATTATATAAGCGTTATTTTTTCAAAATTAAACATTTTAAACATTTCTTAAAAATATTCTATTTCTTGTAACCAATGGATTTGGAGAAATATTAATACACCACGTATTCAAATGTGGATGAACGGTAAGTTTACGGAGTTACAGCGCTAAAATTCGGGGTTCGATTCCAATGTGGCTTTCCTCTAAAAAGAAACTAACGTATTCAAAGCCCCTTTTAAAAATCTTCTTGATTATTTAACTTGATAGTCTGACAACTTCCTACGATTCATATGTAAGTATATAGTTCTTTGTTTTTATGTGTTCGTTTTGTTGCATTTCGCGGAAAGCTACTCGAGGGCTATCTGTCTGCTATCTGTCACTAATTTTGAAGTGACAGACTATAGGGAGGGCAGCTAGTTAATACCACCCACTACCAACTCTTGGATTACTCTTTACCAACGAACAGAGGGATTGACAGTCGCATTATACTGTCCTCACGGCTGAAAGGGCGAGCATTGTAGACAACGGATTTCGATCCCGCGGCCCGCAATTGCGAGTCGAGTGTCTTAACCACCAGGTCACATGTCTTTCTTGAATGCTATTTAACTTGACCAAGAACTATGGAAAAATTTTCGCGAAAATGTGGTGAAAACTATTATATTTCTTTTTTTTTTTAACCTTGGAAGTTAGATCGACGGACTTGTCGTTTTCATTCGCACTACGTGATTTCTGTTGGATATTGTGTTTCTTATAAGTTCCTCAAACATTAGAAAATTAAACTTTTTTTTTATTTGGGATATTTATTAGATATTAGAGACTATTCAATTCCTAAAGTTCACCAAACATTTTGTTCATCGTAAAAGAATTATTAATGGGAACTTATTATACCTAAAGGTTTAAATTAGACCTTTCTCTGATAATTAGATCTTTGCAGGATTTTACTTATTAATAATCACCAAGTGTTTTATTATATAACGAAATGAAACGAAAGATAGTGTAAAAATTAAATACGAAAACTAAGTTAACTCTTTTATCGATTACACAATGTATTTGCTTATTCTTAATTGATTTTCTTTAACCAAAGAAAGCTACCTATATGAAATGAATCACAAAAAGGTTTGACACAGAAGATCACTGCCTAAAGTTCAGGTTTTATCTCCTATATGCTCAACAGATTATAATGTTTTGTCGTTATGATAAAACATCTGTTCTTCTCTATCTTAACCAGCCAATTTAAAACCTAGTTCTTTATTTAATTCACATTTCGTGGAATAGTTTAGACATCCAATCAACTAAATGTTTTATTATTTCAATATAGTAAGTAAACTTTTATATTTTAGCCAACCTTTCACCATTGCGACTTCATCAGAACTACTAGTACAAGAGCCCCCCAGTGGCACAGCGGTATGTCTGCGGACTTACAACGCTAGAAACCGGGTTTCGATACCCGTGGTGGGCAGAGCATAGATAGCCCTTGTGTAGCTTTGTGCATAATTAAAAACAAACAAAACAAAACTAGTACAAGAACTCTTGCGCTACTAACCCTGAAAAAGCCGCAATAGAGAAATAGTGATTGAAAAAAAAAAAGATTTTTTATATTATTAGCTGGAGAATAAAGGTCTTTATTTTATCTTTATTGTAAGAATATCTCTCCAGTGTGCATTACAAATTCTTTAAAACAACTTATTAAGTGTTAAATGATAATTTAAACAACTGTTGTTAATAGTGTAATGTTGCCAACATTTTAGGGTTTGCTTTAGCCTTATATCATCTACTAGTTTAATTACGTTTCATTCATGATTTCCTCTCAGATTTTACTTTTGCTACCAACTAGACTTAAGTTAGATATAGCTTTTGTACTTGAAAACTACACAGCCTGATCCACTCGGTGGTGCCCGCCACATCACTTGAACTTCTGACTTTGGAATGCTAGAAGTTTGGACAATGGTGTTCGGACAGTCTTCTGAGAAGGTCGAAAGGGCATCTCCAAACAGCTATCAAAGTACGTGACAGAAATTAGCATATTCCACAATAAATAAACTTTCATATCTGTAGATAAGTAAAATCCTTACTGATCAGTAACTCTATTTTTGCTAACTTAGTTTGAAATATATTTTATTTAAAATAAAAGTAGATTTAGGCAGTATGTTCAACAAATGGACTGAGTTTACTTAGACTGGGCATGGAGCCCGAACCGCCTTCTCGAAATCAAGACGAATGGCAGAAAAATTCATAGAAAACCCAGTCCGAGTAGCCATATATATATGTAGTTTGTAAATCATTGCACTTGAAATGTTCAAGAATTTCTCGGATATTTTATCCTGAATTCTAATGTTCGGAACAATACATTTTTGAAGACATAAACTTTCAAAATATAAATATTATGTGTAAACTTCTACCAGAAGAGCTGATGAAAACATACAATAAGAATTAATAACAATTAGTCCCAATTATGAGTAACAGACAAACCACTAAAAGCTTCTATGACCCCTTTACCTTTGGTCATCAGTTGAGTATTCTTGCTGTTCATAATTATCGTTAGTTAGACCGCGTACAATACAAATATCAAAGCATAATTACGAAATTACCATACTTCATCAAAGAGTAATTCTGTGAGCATCACAAGACTATACAAAACAGTAATTCTGTCGAACTGCAAGACTATCAAAAACTCATATTACATCTTATATCAAATGATAATTACTGTCACTACAGGGTAATTATAAAGAAAAATCCATGTTTAGAATGATTATACTTCAAACATTACTTGTATCATGTTGAAACCTTCTTGAATGAAACTTATGATTTTCATCAGTGTACTTCTGGCTAAAATTTATTTCCCCAAAACAAGTTGGACTGTTCATTGGTTTGTTTTAGCGCAGAGCTACACTTTGGTCATTTGTGCAGTGTCCACTGCGGGGAATCGAATTTTTAGAGTTTAGCTTAATACGTCATCAAGTTTACTGGGGGGACTAGGTCAAGTAGTAAAATGTAATAATTTCAAATATAGGGATACCTTTATTAAAAATCATGAAGCACAGCAACATTTTATTAAATAATTATTATTTGGTACAATGCAAGAATTAAAAGCCAAAATATTATCGTTAAAAATCGCATGTTGGCTATAGAGCATTTTTGTGATGTGAATCAAATTTTAATAATAACAAAAACAAAATTTAAGTAGCTTTAAATATCTATGTGTACATTCGAATTTTGTTAGTAGATATTATGGTCAATTTTTAAAATGTTCTAGTTCTCACATGTTAGCTGCTTTTCATTTTGTGAAAATGGATTTTTGTTAATTTTAGACCATTTAAGAAGTATTCCGTAATAAAAAAAAAACATGAGCAGAAATCAATATTTGATGTTTTCCCGCCGTTAGGTTGATATTTGTGCTATATTTTATGAGACACAAACTTTAAAATTGATTACATTTTTCTTCCAATTTTTTTTTTACCAATAATCCACTTTAGTTCCTGGATCGTGTGTCTTTGTGCTCATTTTAAGGCTTCCTTAAGTAGAGCTTTGACAGATAAGAACCGAAGTTTATGTAGAAGTGACGTCACTAAGGCACAGTTCATTTAAGCATCATTGGTCCTTTTGACATTATACTCATATCATGTATTGGATAATGCTACTGGTATTGTCAACCCAACGATTCGGTTAGAAAACAAAAGGCTAAGATTCTTTAACAGATACTTTTATACCACTGAATATCTATAAAAGCAATCAGAAAATTTTAAAGATTATCACTTTTCTGAAACCTTTACTTTACATAGTTAAATGACAGCATTTATATTATACGAGTACTGTGAAACCGTAGACAACATTTACAAACAATGAATCTTTCGTGTTACGTTAATTCAAAAGATTGTTTTTAATTTCTTATTTATTTTTCTTCCTATCACCTTGTATTCCCTCTCTCAATTAGATGTTCTCTGAGTAGTAGAATAGTATTTCAATATTTGTATCTCACTTTGAGTAATTCTATCAATGTGTAAATCCAATAATTAAATTTTAATTAATATTTTTTTCAGGATTCATTTGTAATACTTAGTTTAATAATTTTATAACTTAGTAAATAATTATTAACCCTATAAGGGTTTAAGGGTTATAAGGTTTTTATCATCTTGTATCAAGACTTCTTGAACCTACGTGTTTTTCTGACATCATAAATAATTATTAATAATGTACCAGACAACATCATTACCATAAACCATCTGACAAAGCTTTGATGAAACAAGCTCAGACATGTTGCACTTCTGAATAGTTTCAACTGAGTCTGAATGTTCACAGAAAGGCCGTATCTGCCTTATTTGACGTAAACAGACACTCTAGAAACACTTTGGTGAACTATACCGCCAGTCAAGGCATCGTTCATTGCTATACTAATCCAGCTTTTGTTTTGTTTGTTTGTTTGTTTGAATTTATGCACAAAGCTACACAATGGGCTATCTGTGCTCTGCCCACCACGGGTATCTAAACCCGGTTTCTAGCGTTGTAAGTCCGCAGACATACCGCTGTGCTACTGGGGGGCTTTTTGTTTTGTGTTACGTCAAATCAAAAATGAAGATGATCTGGGTAGACAATAATCACTAAAGTACAGGGAAAAATCAAGTGACCACACTGGGGTCTACGAGGATATTGCCTGAGCCAGAGACCCTGGACCTAGTTTACGAGACTTTCAGTTACACTAGGAACATTTATACCCCACACGTAAACATTTCTTTTGTATATGTTAATCCTTTTTTTAGGAATCAACTGTGTTATACACATAATCCAATATTTTTCTTCTGTTTTTAAACGACCTCATTTCTTTTTTATAAATTATCAAGTTTCGATACCCGCAGTGGGCAGAGCACAAATAGCCCATTGTGTAGCTTTGTGCTTAATTACAAACAATAAAACATTTAGTATAGTTTTTTTATGAGCCACTCATGTCAGTTATTCTTATTTTATTTATTACGTAATGAGTACAAAATTCTTTGTCGAATTTTCGATTCAACAACTAATTTACATTTTTTCTTTTTTTTCACAGCGGTTTGGACAATTTCTAGTTCATCATATTAATCTTCATAATTAATATTTGTTTTTCTTTTGGCTTCTTTGATGGATTTGACTGAGATCATTGTTGAGTTCCTGTTAAAATTGTTATTTTTTTGTTAACATTTATTAATGTTTGGCAAAAATTCATCATATATCATCATCCTTCTCTAAAGGCATTTCCGTCGAATACTACCTTGTCAGTTTCTGTTCTTACTTCTGTTAAAACATCATCAGCTAGGGACTGTAAAAACGTGTCACACCAAGCACTTCCTTTTGTAATAATCCTTTTGTTACGGTAAGAGTTATCACCTTCGTGAGCTCTCGTTTTCTATTATCACTCTGAGCATAATCAGTAGTATTTCTTTTATTGGAAATGTTTTTACTCGATGTAGCAAACTCAACAATCATATCTCGTCTAGTGAGAGGGTTTTCATTCTTTTTCTTCTTCCATTCCATGCGCCGCTTTTTTTTTAAATTAATTTTCGAGTGTAGTATTTCATACATATTCTACAATATGACATGATTTTAGGAAGGGATTTGTTTGCTAGAACAAAAAATGTCACTTTTTTATTATTTTATTACTGGAGAGCATATGAAAAGTTTTCCCTAATTTTAAACTGATAGTTTGTTTGTTTGGAATTAAGCACAAAACTATGCAATGGGCTATCTGTGCTCCGCCTACCACGGGTATCGAAACCCGGTTTCTAGCGTTGTAAGTCCGCAGACATACCACTGTGCCACTGGGGGGCTAAACTGATAGACTACATGGAAGTCAGCTAGTCAACATTACCTACTGCCGACTTTTGGATTACTTTTTTCTATCCGAAAAGTGAGATTTAACTGTCAATCTTATAACATACCGACAGCCTCAAAGTGACGAACGCGTTTTTACAGCAGCAGACTCGAACCATGAACTCTAACGTTCATAATCCCGGCATACTAACCTCGTGGCCCAACATGACAAGTACAAGTAGTTCATGACTCAGAAAAGAAACTCATGACCCACTCATAACTCAGTGCAGACACTTGTGATTTGCAGTAAATTTACTCATGACTTATAGCAATCATGACTCATAACCATAAGGACTTGCATCAACTTATTGCTCATACGATAGAATGTATTTCATTTGGTTATGGCTATTGGAAATAAAGAAGGAATATGCGTATGCTGTTTTATCTACTATTTTTAGCCATTCACTTAAAATGAAACACGTAGACATGCCTAAAAAATATTTTGTTAAAAACATTTTCTAACTGTTTAAACTGCTAACAAAATGCAGCTTACATACCACGAATTTACAATTTCATAATGTTTTAAGAATTTGTTCGCAAAAAATAGTATCTTACTTGAAAATAGCCAACTTCTGGGGTCACGGTTTGGTTAGTTGAGGTCAGGTTCACACTTTTCTGTACCACCAGCATAAATCCCATAAACTGATGGATGTTGAATTGGATTCCAAGTCTCTGAAGGATTACTTGAAGGGTAATAAAAAGAACAGAAAGGAAATAATATGAATACAATAAGAACATAACAGTATCACTTATTAAACTATATTTGACGTTCGAGCGTAAAATTAAAACATACTTTTGCTAACATTAGTAAAAGAAGATGAGTATGGGTAGAGGATAATGTGTAACAAATGTGCTGAATGTGAGAATGTGGGGGGATGGGAACTTCTCCAGACCAAAATGAGTGTATAGTATCTAAGTAAAAAGATTTAAAACACGAGTTTCCCGAGTTGAATGTTTTTAAAGTGTTTGGTACGAATTCTGATCCAGTTGGCGAGTGTCATCCATTTTTGGTCATAAGTAAAGATGTGCTGAATCTATGAACATTCTTTCTATAATATTAAAAACAACAACAACAAAGAGCAGATAAGTACATTATGTAGAATCATTTGTACTTTTCTGAATGTCTCATGGTGTTCATCATTCTAGGTTCAAGTTGACTGAGACATGACGTTTTTTACATGTCTAAGAGTTTCATATTTCTATACTCTTATGTGTAGGACATCCATTTCGTTCAAGACCTAAGACCTTTAATTGGTGACATATTTTTTGTTTCATAGAGTTGGCTTGTCTTTGTGAATTAAATAAGCTAATCTAGAGCGTTTATAAAAGGCGTAACTCATATTTTTCCCAAATATAACAGCAACGAAACTGATTCGAAATCAAGTAGTTATGATTTATATCAGTTTGCTATAGAGTCACACGAAAGCAATATGTACCTTCAAGTTGACGATATTAAGATTGAGATGTGAACTCAAAAGACGCTCTTGTGGTTCCGCAATATCGTCATCAGATCGGTTACGTACAGTGTATATATGTTTTCCTATAAACTGCTTACTTCAAAGAACAAACAGACAGTAAAACTTTGAGCCTTACACCACTTTAAAATGTATTGTTGTGTAAAGAAGTACCAGTTCCGAATTTGAAAATATCGTAAAAAAGCACCACTCAAAAACAAGCCTCAAAAGTATCAAACTAATTTTTTTCTTTCTCTCTATGTAGTTTCATAAGGACGTGCATACAGCGAGATTTGATGTTGAGCCATTGTAGTGGCTTACATTAATGTTCCTTTGCAAAACTTACTAATATATATGTACAACCTTCTTTTTTCCATTGTACAATCATATAAATGTTTTAGGTCAACATGTGTTTTCTAAATTAATTTGAGGGACCAGTGTAGTTTCTAAACTTCATCTGCTTTGAAAAACCCATCTTTAAGTTATAATGAAAAACTGGTAGCTAAACTAGTGACCAGTTGTTTTTAAACTACTTCTTTATAGATCGTATATCGATAATTGTTTGTTTATTTTTAATTTCGCGCAAAGCTACACTATAGCTATCTGCGCTAGCCTTCCCTAATTTTGTAGTGTAAGACTAGAGGGAAGGCAGCTAGTAATCACCACCCACCGCCAACTCTTGGGCTACTTTTTACCAACGAATAGTGGGATTGACCGTCACATTATAACGCTCCCACGGCTGAAAGGGCGAGCATGTTTGGTGTGACGGGGATTCGAACCCACGACCCTCAGATTGCGAGTCGAGCACCCTAACCACCTAGCCATGCCGAGCCATATCGATAATACATTTGAAAATTTTCAGCTACAAAAACATGTGAATGAATTTTAACATTACCTGAATAGCAAATATCTTAACATTTGCTGTAAAGAACGAGCATAATCCAACACTGTCAATTTTAGATACCTTTTCACACAATGAGCATTTAAACTATGAAATGAATTTTTGTCATAAGTCAACATTTGCTGGATTTAAGATTTAGTTGGTAAAAGTCTTGATTAAGTGAGCTAACATAATTATAAGTGCTTGTAACTTGTTACATGAGGAAGTAATGAGATAGAACAAATTTGGAACATGAAAGAGTTTTGTGCCATTTTTGTTGATAATACAATTCATGAATGCTTAAACAAGGTAACTACTCCTAATGTTGATCAATTTACTGTTCCAAAGAAACCAATAACATTTGATTTACTTCTCACGAGACATTTTATTTTGGTCAACAAAAAACAATGCAACTAAACTCTTAATCAGGATACATTCACACATTCAAGTTAGGTGTGTTTTAAAAGTTGTTCTTAGAACGTATGTCTAGAGAGTAAACAGGCATTTCTTGAATTCAATTTTTCATGTCCCGTAAAGAAGAAGGTAAAGTCCACCACTAGGTTTTTGTCCTTTAGAACCAAATATCACGTACCAACAAGATCGGAAGAGATATCAAGTTTAGTTTAACACGATGAGGATGGACATTATTATCAATTAGGTTGAAGTTAGGGCTAATTACAACAACAAACAGCAGGATATGTCGTCCAATAACAATGCGAACATCTCATTCAGTCTAGGAACAGCTACTAGACGACTGGAGCGAGTTAGTAACGAGAGACAATCATTGTTTACGTTTGCTCAGGTGTTTCGTCAACTATGCTATAGATGTAGAAGTGGTTCTATGCTCTTCTAACGACACGATAAACTTCTAATCAACTTGCAACAGCCTTTTATCCCAATTTTATATGTACCAACCCTTTTCTTTGTGGCATTTCAAGCACTGCTCAGACATCCACTTTTTCTTTGCTCCTTTTTATCCCACTTTTATGCGCACCAACATTTTTCTTTTTGCCATTTTAAGCATTGTTCAGATATATTCTTTTAAGTCTACTCAAAGCTGTGGACAATTTCGAAGACATTACATTATGTGTCCCACATCCAAGTGAATGAAATATGAAACAAGACGTTGTGAGATTATTTTATAAGCATCACAGATGCCTGATTTGCATAATAATGAACTGGAGTGGGTAATTAACATTATGTTATGCAATGCTTTTCTTCTGGCTATATATAATATTATAAATTTAGTTATCGTTTAATGGGTTTGCCCAGTATAAATACAAACAATGCTATAATGATAGCTAGTTGTCTTATAACATGGATATGAACAAACCCTTAAAATATTATATACTTATGTTTCTTTTCCAAAACAACCACTTTATGAATTTCACTCCTTTCCGAAAGAACGCTACAACAACTAGTGATACCTTAAGGTTGCATGTTGCCTGTATAATTAGCAGTGAGTGCTAGTAGTACATCATTTGGTTGTGTTTTGTCTTGATAAACTGTTTGCTGCTAGTACTAAGAACTTCGTGCTCTTTAATCAATGGATATGTCAGTCGCATCTGATTGATTAGCTAATGACGGGATCTTTAACGTGTCTTTAAGCTCTGATATTCATGAAATACTAAGTAATAAAAACGAACAGTTCAATGAAAATAAGAAAAATCAGATTTTTTTTGTGTTTTTTGGCCTGGCATGGCTAGGTGGTTAGAGCGCTCGACTTGCAATCTGAAGTTCGTGGGTTCGCATCCCCGTTCCACCAGGCATGTCCGCCCTTTCAATCGTGGGGGCGTTATAATGTGACGGTCAATCCCACTGTTCGTTGGCAAAAGAGTAGCCCAAGAGTTGGCGGTGGGTGGTGATGACTAGTTACTTTCCCTCTAGTCTTTAGGGACGGCTAGCACAGACAGCTCTCGTGTTGCTGTGCGCCAAATTCAAAGTAAACCATAACCCAAAATATTTTGTTTTCTTTACATATTACGTGAACAGAAAGTGAAGAAATATTTGGTATGTAGATGTGTATACATATATAGAGGGCCGAGTACGCTATATTAAGACGATTTTGCAAATATAAGTCAGCAAGGCACATGACAATCACAACCAATATAAAGTCGCGATGGATTAGAATGTACCTGAACTATATACATTGTTTGGCGTGAAGTAGGTAGTGTGATGTTTCAGAAAATTTATCGCTTTCGGGAAGGGTATTTAAGCCCATTCTGACGCAAAATATTTATAACTTCAGATCATTTGGATCAACTTGGTGCATCTAGGAAAAACTAGAAAGAGACTAGTAACAAGTCACACCACAACCATGGTAATCAACATACGGTGTTTTGTTCCAGGTCAGAATTCACGAAGACAAAGACCAGTGGCAAAAGTCATCTACGTACATTACCCAGGCAACGCAACATAACCAAGAAGGATCCCCATCTGAAATAGAGGCACGATTCACGTGTACTCAAACTGCTTCCATGACACATCCGTTCAACCTTCGCATACCTCAAGCATCTAGAGATTCAAACGGGTATTCATGTTACTCCATACAAAGACATACTGGTAAAGTCGTCAGACGCAGCTTCTATAGATGTCTGTGCGGTCGGACTTTTGTAACGCTGTCGTCTTCGTGTACTACAAAACATACAGAGAGGAGAAATGTGCTTTGGACATGACTGCCTTAGGACGGAGCTTTTTGCAATAGAAATTAAACTGATAGCTATTGCCAAGATGTACAGTTGTCAGATACACAGCTTAATCGTACGTGATAACATGGACGTGGTGAGCTTACGAAAAGTTTTAATATAACGTACTCAATCTCTGTGTACAAGAATTTGCTGTTAAAATATAAGTATACACTATATACTAGGGATGCACGGATACCCGGCCAGATATTCGGCCCCGGCCGGGTATTGGGCTACCCGGCAATACTTGGCTCTGGCCGAGTGTCGAAGCTAGGCATCTATGCCCTAACCTTTGTGGCAACTAACGCGGTACTGAAAGTTACTGTCAATAATTGGTTTAGTTATAAAAGAAAAAAAACGTGCTCCCAGTAACAAAAACTGACCGTCCGCTGAAAGTCGGGGATTCAGAGAACAATAGGGGTTATTAACAGGCATGGTTTGAGAAGTGGATTTCTGGAGAAGGTAGAGGTTTTGAGAACAATAGGTGTTAGGGTTTGAGAAGGTTGGGGCTAGGCATTGAAAGTTGAAAGTAAAACTTGAATGTTCTATTGGTGATCATTCGTTAAATGTAATAAACGTCAATTGTGTTTTTGTTTATAATTTTTGTGTATGTTGTTTTTTTTTGGAGGGGGGAGAACCCGGTTGAGACCCGGCCCAGCCCGAAG